TCCTTGGAGAGCTTACAATTTAAACGATAGGGAATTTTTAAAAAGTCTGATACACAATAGATGAGTTGGAGTCAGATACCAAAAATTCAAATGCTAATGACAACACTCACTACCTGCTGTGTAACTCAATAATTTTTCTTAAACTCTCTAGGTCTCAGCTTCCTTTCAGTTCTAAATCTATGATACAATGACCTTATGTGAGAGGGACAATGGAAAGATTTAAACAAATACTCTGAGGAAAATGGAAGGGTAGAAAGATACATCACATTCAACTGGAGGAAGTCTTCATGGATGAGGTAATCCCTATATTGGAACTGGACTAGCACATATTCTATCCATGTCCTTCAGCTGACCCTGGTTCTCATTATATGAATGGCCCATCATTTTTTTTTCTACTTCTACATTTCTCTGATGATATGCTTCACAACACTTCTGGGTAATTCCTCATTTGTAATGTTGCAGTCCATACACTCACCATGTGCCTTTCTAATGCCCTTGGTTAATGCTGAACTTCAATTCTTTGGAGACAATAATATTCTGAAATTCATGGCCTTATAACATCACTAGAAAAATACTGATGTTAAATGAGAAACTGTACAGTTTCCCAAAGACAGTTTAGCCTGCTCCTTCTATCTAGTTATAAATACAACTCACTGGCCATTTTTACAACAAACACATATGTATATAATGTTATATATACACATATATGTAAATTTCCAAGTGCATACATCATGTAACCTGGAAAAGAGGAATTATCTTTCACTTTTTTTTTTGGCTGATTATGGTTTTCATTTAAGAGTATCTTCATTGTCGAAGGGCTTGATGCAATCAGTACAATGTGTTCCACAAATACGCATATCTGGATGATTTTACCATTTAGTAGGAATCCTTTTTCAAAATAGACTTTGGACTGGACATCATTCATGATAATGCTAATTACCATGGTGAGCATATTTCTGTTTTGTGTCTGACTTGATTTTCTTAATTAGAAAGGTAAGAGATTTAGATTGAATATGTAAAACTAAAAGGCAACTGCATAGAGATGAAAATAAAAGCCTTGGAAGTGTAGGAGAGGATGGAGAGAGACAAAAGAGGGGCTTAAGAAACATAAACACTCAGGGGCAAAGAGTATGAATAAGCAAAGGTTATTGAGAAGTGATTGGACAGGAAAGAGATTACACAATGGTAAAGAATGACTCATTGAAATGATTATATTTTGGTTCTACTGTAAAGGGTAAAAATTGAATCCAGGACAGGGATAATGGATTAGGAGGATCAGGAAGGAATGAGGGGTCACAGAGACAAAAGGAAGTCTCACTGAGGCCAAAGAGTATATCCAGAAGGATAGAACTGGTGGAAAAAGTGGACAAAAAACCAATTCTGATCAGAAAGGGAAATTTCAGGGTCAAATATAAGTGACTGTCTAAATGTGAGGTATTACTATTACTGCATCTAAGGAAAGATAAGTAGAGAGATATTCTCATTTTCCTATATAAAGATGTGGACAGCTCTACAGCTTTCAAAATATGATATGGGGAAGGTGGAGGTAGAATAGATGCCTGTCTCATTATATTTCCCCCTCTCCCTCTTCATTCTGGGCCTTACTCTCTCTAGGGTGCAGGAAGATAGAAGGAGCCACAGGAAAATGAAAATGTTCCTCATAACTTTTGGGACATGTAAATATGTGTAAATTAGATTAAATGAATTAATTTTCTAAAATCTTTAGCTCAAACTTACACAGGAACTTTTTAGATCTGTTTTCAAAAATTTACCTTAATTATTTCTCTTATAATACTCTTCATTTCTATACACCAGTAGATTAAGAGAATATACCAATAAAATAAGAGAACAGACTATGATGCCATTCTAGGCAAGCCTAGCTCAGGCCAGTCCAGAGTTAGAGGTTTAGGATTGGAATACAATGCAACATTAGTCAACCACAAAATACAATTTAAAAATGTTATTTAAGATAAAGTAAAAAAGGATATAGTAGCTAGTTCCCCATCTGCTTCTACTTCCACCATGACAAAGAAGCTAAATTAGAAAGGTATCCTTATTGAGGAGTGAGAATTCTACCAAACCTCTAAATCATGAGCTCCTCATAGGCTGGAATTTTTGTGCCCTAAGCCCAAGGAAGCCAGACAGATAATTCAATCTCAAATCCGCTACACCAATAGAAACCCAAGGATTGCTTCAGTGTGTGTGTGTGTGTGTGTGTGTGTGTGTGTGTGTGTGTGTGTGTGTGTGTATTTCTTTTTAAATATAGGAAAATCCCCTGAGTACAAATCTGTCTATAGTTAACTCCTATGATTCGGGGGTGGGAAGGGAAAGTCCTCAGGATTTATCTGAGGTATAGACAAATTAATTGATTAAGTTTGTTGTTGTTTTTGTTTAGTCCTTCAGTTACGTCTGACTCTTCGTGACCCTGTGGACCATAATCCACATAACTAGTAAGAATCAGAGGTAGGATTTGAATGTTTTACCAAATTGAAATCCAGCATTTTATCCACTACGACAAGCTGACTCTTAAATAGTATGTGAAAACAAATTCCATCACAGTCTTAACATTATTATTTTTAATACCAGATAGCATGTATGCAATTCTGAAATCTAACAACATTTCTTTTTTAGGCAATTGGGGTTAAATGACTTGCCCAAGGTCACACACTTAGTGAGTGTCAAGTGTTTGTTCTGAGGCCAGACTTGAACTCAGGTCCTCTTGATTTCAGGGCCAGTGCTCTATCCACCGTACCACCTAGCTGCCCTGCAATTCTGAAATTAGAGACATGTTACGTAGTGCAACTAATCTAAATACATGCATGTATATTCATGCTGCACATTTTTTTTTGTTTTAGGAGTTTACACCAATAGAAAGTAAATGAAAGTTACAAAAGAAAAATAGAAAATAATTAGATCAGGAGCAAGGGAATTAACAGTGATCTATGTGTTAGACGTGCTAAATGGAGGACTTATGAAAAAAGAACCTCAGAATATTGAGAGAAAACTGATTTCACTAAAATATCATTATCCCAATAAAGCAGTTATATGGAGCCAAAATGCCCCAAATTTCCTTATTCAACTGTGGGAAGGACAGAAACAAAAGAGATACTTAATGAAATGCCGTTGCTTATTTTCTCATGTTGAGCCCAATACCATAGTGGCAGATTAGACAGAGAATTATGCGATCATTTTGTTACAATTTGCCGACATTTAATGTCTTCTCATGACTGATGTTTGTCTTTGAGAATTGTTGTGAAGTCAACAATATAATCTACAGAGTTTGCCTTTGGTGTCTTCCTCAGTTTCTTACATCTATGCAGCCCCTTTTCTAGATTATCTCAACACTGTCTCCCTGCTCCTTCTGTTAGCCAGGACAGAATCTGATAAAATAATTCAAAGTAAGGTGATTAAGAATGGTTTAAACGTTACCCTTTCAGAGAGGTATTCACATTTAAAAGACAAAGCCTCAATTTAATAAATAGGGCCAGGTTCTTGTCTAATATAAACATATACTATAATAGAATGTTATGTAATGTGACATGACATGACATGATATCATATGATATATGGTATGTATATAAACATATATAACTTAATACATTAAATTAAGCCTTTAATGGGGCCAAGGCAGGAGGAATCCACTGACCTTTCCCGTTCTAGCACCACTCCAAGCTTAATATTTGTTCCTATGCATTTTTCCATTTTATTCATTGCCAGAGAGACCAAAAGAAAGTGCTAGTTTAAAAAGAGAGAAATCCTGGGTCTAGAGAACTCTTTGTAGTTTATTTTAAGAGCAACTGGTAAAAGTGATGCTGTCTGGATATGACTTAGCAATTAGACATTAAGCAAAACAAAAACAAAAACAAAACACAAGGAATTTCTTACTCTAAGTTAAAATAGGGGTTTTAACAGGCACTCATATATATGTATAATTAAGCCTGCAAATACTTAGTTCCCCAGGATTATTCTGTGTTTCCAAAAAGAAAAAAAGAAAAGAAAAAACTTTGTTGTCAAGGCCAAAAATTTCCATCTGAAGAATAAACATTCATTTTAGCCAGCTCAGAGAACAGACAGACTCTCCTTGATGGAAGAATATTCACTGAAGCTTATTTGCTGCTTCCAGAGCTATGTTGGGACTTTACCTTTCTAAAAGAGCTAAAATTAAGCCCTAGTCTTTAAGCTAAAAGAAGAAAAGCAAAGTTGCCTTTTCTTCCTCTTGTGCACATTTCCTATGTTTGTGTACATGTGTGTGTGTGTGTGTGTGTGTGTGTGTGTGCTTATGTGTAACCTGGCTTTTGCAGTCCTAACTTTCTGTGAGAAAAAGCAAAGGAAAGAAAGGTAATATTGTGTGAGAGATGAATGAATATTAGAAACCCTAAAGGCATTGAACACTTTGCACAAAAATCACAACACCAAAAAAAAAAACCCTACCAAGGAGAATAAAGACCCCTTTTAAATTAAAATTAAGAAAAGATTTTTCCAATAAATATTAGCATTCAGAAAAAAATAGAATTAATATTAAAAACTAAAATCATTAAGAAACCAGTTTAAGAAAATGATATAACTCATGTATCATTAATTTCTCTCAATGTTGAAATCATTGTAAGGGGAAAAAAATTGCTATATGCAAAAGAAACCAATAGAGTTAACAAACTAAAATCTTATTCTTCCTGTTTCTAATGTGCCCCACATATTTTATTTGTGATTTATATGTACATATGTATATCCATATGTACTCATGTATATATAAATAAATTCAATTTGGTCAAAATAGAGACTAGAACAATCTATGAAGATTGCAGTTATGACTGAAAAATAGGACTGTTCTTTTTCATATTAGACACTCACTGCAGTCTTTTTTTAAACCTGTGACTTTGTCACTTTAACAGATAAGCACAGATTGCTGCTTTAACCAAACATGGAGCAGATAAGTAAGAGTGGGGGGGGGTCATTGAGGTAACTACATACCCTGGGATCATACTTATACCAAGTAGCCTGATTTGAGCCTCAAGAAGTCAAAGAATGCCCCATAATTTCCTGGAATCTCTGACTATCTGACCAGGAAGAAAGGACTTGTCAGACAATTTGACAGGCTTGGTGGAAATATGTAAGTTACTTTGTCAGCTGAACCCTTTGAGGCAACTCCTAGACTGCATGCCAATTAACTCTTTTGAGCAACTCCTCATTTAGTAGAAGGTTTACTTGCTGTATATATCACAACTATTATGTATTAATTTATATTTATTTGTTTACTTATTTCTAAAGAAGTATGGCAAGCTCTTGCCAATGGGAGCTTTTGGAAAAGTCTGTTTTTGTCTACAAGATAGATAATTAATATGAAGTGCTTTGTAAGCATCAAAGGTCTATATAAATGTTCAATATTTTTTCTCATTCTCCCATTCAAATCTTACTAAGAACCTTTATTTTCTACTTTTCTGATAAATGTAAAGTAAAAATAATGAAAACCAGAAAAAAAATTGTGGCTTGAAAAGTAAACTCAAATTTTTAACTCATTTTATTTGTCTAGGATCTCTTCTTCACATTTCGAATTTGAGAGGCTACTCCTTTTGTTAACGAAAGGGACTCGGGGCTCCTAGGGTTCCTAGTTCTGCAATACAAATGAAGTGTGAAATTATTTCATTGCCTGAACTAAAATGTCAAGGACTCTGTAGGACATGAAAAAATTGGGATTTTCCTTCTTAAGCTAAGTTATTGACACCTACAAAAAAAGGTTTGTTTTTAATTCTAAATTAATGTTTGTGTGACTAAAGCATTATCTTAATATTTTTGCTGTCTTACTATCCTTGTGAGTCCATGGCTCAGAAATATGAATAACCTCACTGTGCTTTGAAAATAATTATTTCTATATCCATACTTTTATGCTTAGCAAAATTATTTTTCCCCTCCCATCTCTTTTCACATTTCTAAATTCTCCCTAATTATTACTGTACCTCAGTATTTCACAAGGAAACAAGGACCACTTCAAAAGCTACAAAATTTCAAGCTCAAATTTTTTATTCTGTAACTTAAATGTCTTTTTTATTTGCATGTGATTTTAACTTATTCCTCCACCTCAAACAAAAAAAAATCATTAACTGCATTTGATTTTGGTTACAACAGATCACCTCTAACCATACAAAATTTAAAATATTCAGAGAGCCGAGGGGAGAGGTTTTTTTTTTCTTCCTATATTAATGACTCTCAGTTTCATTTGGTAAACACAGAATAGGTCTGTATTTACATATTATGTTCTGCAGAGGAACACAAAATCATAGATTCTGGAGAAAGAATCTTTCAGTTGTTTTTCAGTTATTTTTATCAGTTGTGACCCAATTTGGGGTTTTCTTGGTGAAGATAGAGTTGTTTGCCATTTCCTTTTTGAACTTATTTTACAGATGAGGAAACTGAGACAAACAAGGTTAAGTGACTTGCCCGGGTCACACACCTAGTAAGTGTCTGAGGTCAGATTTGAATTCAGGTCTTTCTGACTACAGGCCCACTAGTAAAATGGAAACAGGATTTGAACCAAGGTCCTCTGCCCACATATGTTGTGTTTTCGCCATTACAAGTTGATATGGGTTATATACCATTTGGAAATAAAGTCCTAGGTCATTTTGCTAAAGTAGCAAATACATATTTAAGAAGGAATACTTATACCCTTAAGATCTTGGTAGATTTCAGTCAGATACAATTTCTTTCCACTGGATTTGGAGTTAAAATATCTTTGTTTGAATCCTGGTTTTGTTTCCTACAGTCCCATAACTCTCAGGAAGTCACTCCTAATCTAAAAGTCTCAGTTTCCTTATCTATAAGATGAAAAGGTTAGACTGGATCAAAGATTTTTAACTGGGGTCTGTAAGTCTATCTATGGATTTCAGGGTTTTCATGACCTTGGATAGGAAAAACAATCATATCTTTGTTTCAAATTAATTATTTCATTTGTAATTCTGTGAGTGTTATTTTATTTTTTAACAACATAATTCTGAGAAGGGATCCATAGGTTTCACCAGATTGGCAAAGAGATCCACGACACATGAAAAGGTTAAGAACTCCTGGACTAGAGGATGTTGATCGATCTTTCCAGCTCTGATTCCTGTGATATCAGTTGATCTCAGCCAGTAGTCTACCTCTATTCCACATAGTGTCACCAGCCATCACACAACCCTTATACATCCACAAAGCTCTGCCATGATGAACAGTACAACTTCTTTGCAGGCAGGTCTTGTCCTCAAATCTGCCTCTACTCTGGCCCAGGTAGAAAAGGAGCCAAATTCTTTGGAGAGGTAATGAAATAAAATGAAAAGAGGAACCCTAGGTTCAAGTTCCCATTCTGATCAATCATTAGTTGTGTGATCTTGGTACAGCAAGGCCATTTATTCTATCTGCCCCTCTGTTCCCTCATGTGTAAAAATTACTATATATACATATATGTGTGTATACATACATACATACATATATATATTTCCAAAGAAGTTCAACATAAATGTAATTGGCTATGACTATGACACCTCCACTAAATTTCTAATCCAATCCATCCTATTTAGGAAAACATGATGATGGCTTCTCAAAGGCTTTTTCAAGGAAGAACAAGTTCTGAGAGGTCCTTACAAGATGAGGTGTGGAACTATGTCAAGGTACAGTTCATGTGCATTTGTCATTGGTGGACTAGCCTCATTAAGTTTGAATAGGTTCATCTTTGGCAGTATGACCACCAGGTAAATGTTAGTTACAAAAGGAGGGGGTTGATATCTATCTCATTAGAGTGATCATCTTTCCACACAGGCCCTTTGAAAATTGAAAGATTTCTATAAAATATTTTGAAATTGTATTAAGAAGTTACTTGTCAGAATTTTCATATTCAATTAGCTGTTATATCGCAAACAAATTTAAATGCTGTCTTATCTTTAATTCTCCTCTCCTCTGTTCGTCTCCCCCTGCTGTATCTTCTCTCCTCTCTTTCACTGCACATATACACATGTATAAGTATATGTGATGAAATAATATTCTGTTATTAGCATGTTTTGGCTGTAGAAAATTGGAACAGGAGGTCTTGACAGAAAGAGTCAGAATCCCCAGATGGCTCTGCCACTTTTTCACTTTTATCTTAGTCTTTCAAGCTGCATGCATACTCTCTCTCTCTCTCTCTCTCTCTCTCTCTCTCTCTCTCTCTCTCTCTCTCTCTCTCTCTCTCTCCCTCTCTCTCCCTCTCTCTCTCTCTGGACATAGACAGATAGGTGAGTAGATTAGTACATAGGAAATTTTTTTTCCCTAATAGTTCATTTAGACAAGTTTGGAGGTTTTTCAAAGGAAAGAAATTGAGGGAAAATAGTAAAGGACACATTTTATGAAGTAGAGCTTTTTGATCCAAACTTCACTAAACTTTAACCATAATTTGTTTAGATGCCATAGTATAGGGATCACCATATTCCTTGCATTTTTTTTGGGGGGGGAATATTCTAAAATTCAGCCTTTATGTTTTTTTTTCTTTTCCCTTTGATGTCCCATTGGTTTTCTCTGAAGAAAAATCACAACCCAATTAAAGCTTATTTTATTATGCTTCACTTATTGTCAAAAAGGTCATAAAATCTCTGAGTTGGAAGAGACCTTAGAAATCATTTTGTTGTTTCAGTCATTTTTCAGTTGTGTCCAACTCTTCATGATCCTGTTTAGGATTTTCTTGACAAAGACACTGAAGTAGCTTGCCATTTCCTTTTCTAGTTCATTTTATAGATAAGGAACTGAGGAAAATAGGGTTAAGGGTCTGAGGCCAGATGTGAATTGAGGAAGATGAGTCTTCTGACTTCAGGCCTGGCACTTTATCCACTGTGCTACCTAGCTTCCCCTGGAGGTCATCTAGCCCAAACTGTAGCTGGATAAAAATCTCCCTTAAAATATCCTTGACAATGCAATCTCTGCTTAACCACTTCAAATGCAGAACTTACTGTATCCCAAGACTGTTCATTTCATTTTTTGAGCTCTGCTTGTTGGAAAGTTTTCCCTTAAATCAAATTAAAATCTTTCTCTCTTCAGCTTCTACCCATTGCTCTGAGTTCAGACTTCTAGGGTCCTGAAGTTCAAGTCTAAAGACAATTATCATGTTTCCCATAAGTCTCCTCTTTTCCTTGCTAAATATTTCTTTTTTATCTGATCCTCCTTTGGTGTGTTAACCATACCTCTCACCATCCTAATCACTTTCTTTTGATTTGCCAATATTCTTTCTGATTATAAATACTGTGAGAAGCCCCCACAGGGGCTTTATTTCTTTATTTTTTTTAAAGATGTCAGTTCAAAAAAATATTAAACACTGCCTACTATGTTCCAGGCACTGTGCTAAGTTTCGGGCACAAAGATAGATGCAAAAATCAGTCCTTGCTCTCAAGACATCGCAGTCTAATGATAGAGAGACGATGCAAATAACTAAGTACAAACAAGCTGTACCCCTGATAAACTGGGCATAATCAACAACAGAGGAAAATTGTTAAAATTCAAGAGGATCAGCCAAGGCTTCCTTTAGATGGTGACATTTTAGCTGGGACTTGAAGGAAGCCAGAGAAGCTAGGAAGAGGAGGTGAGAAAGAAGAGTGTTCCAGACATGGGGAGAGCCAGGGGAAATGCCTGGCTCTGGCTTTCAAAGATGCCTGCTTTGAATACCATTTTTTCTCTTTGTGTATAGTTCCCTGAAACTATCTCTGTTGCTTCTTGGCTGCTTTCCAGACATCTTTAGTACATGTAGTAGAAGTGATGGAAATACCATACTGAGTATGTTCACTTAAAGTAAACATGCCCTATCTCCTTAAGACTTAAACATTTCTTTGCTGGAACTGAACTGGAGGGGGGCCTTGACAGTGCTGAAGTTCATTTACACTCAGCAGGGAGAAAGGCAGGATTAAAGCAACATAGTATAGAAAAAGGAAAACAGGACTAAAAGTAGAAAAAGAAAAAAAATAAAAGAAGCAAAAGCTGAGAAAATAGCAACATGGAAATAGGAAATACTAAAAGTACTATAAGCAACATCACTATTGTTAGTGACTGTTTTCAGTTCATAAACAATCATCTAATATACTAATTAATTAAGTTATGGACAGGATTGGCTCTATCTATACGCAGGAAAGGTATAGATGGTATCATTTGAAAGGCTGCTAACATGATAAAGTTTGAAAAGTTATACCTCCTCCATTAATTCTTTCCCTCTAGTTTCCATAGTGATGTTATTACCCTTTCCAATTTGGTCCCAGATTCCTTCCTTTATTCTCATTACATTTGGTCTGACAACAAAAATTAACATATCAGCTATTTTATGTCGGACAAATATCTAAAACTCAAAAAACTCTAAAACAGAGCTCATCATCATTTAAAAAAAATCTAACCCTCTTACTAACTTATCTTTTCCCTCAAGGGCGTCACAATCCTTCTGCTCTCCCAGATTGGCAACTTTAGTGACCCTCTACTCTCCCACACACCTTATAACCAATCATCATGAGCGCTGAATATAGACAAAGCCATAATGACAAACCAAATCTTGTCATTTCTGCCTCCACAGTATCTTATAATCTTACTCCATCTCTCAACTCACACAGTTACTACCCTCGTTTAGGACGATTGCATTACCTCTTAGCTGGACTATTGTAGGATATCCGAAACCCTCAGTGGTCTGCATTTTTTTTGGGGGAGGGGGAGGAAGCACCACATCTCAATGACTACCCCACCTCTATCACACTCTACCTTGTAACATAGAAGTGTAGTTAAAGTAAATCAATAATGTTTTTGTTGTTATATAAATTGTTCTTGTTCTGCTCACTTCACTACAATATCAATAGATATGTCTTTTCAGGCTTCTTTGAAATCATTCCCTTCTTGGTTTTTTATCTCATGATAGTATTCCATTGTATTCATATATTATCATTTGTTCAACTTTGCACAATTGATGGACTCCATTAGTTGCAAGTTAAACAAGCATATTTGAAAGACTTAAGGAACTCTTATCAATGTAATAATTATCCTTGATTCCAGAAGACTAATAAAGAATGCTATCTACCTTTTGAAAAATGATGAATGAAATATGCAGAATGAGAAACACACCTCTGGACATAGTTAACATGGAATTTTGTTTTCCTCAAGTAAGCATATTTGTTACAAAACTTTGGTCTTTTTTTTCTTTTTCTTTCCAATGGGTAGAAGAAAAATACAAGCTTGTTAATTGAACAAATAATTAAAAAACAGAACAAACAAAAAACTTCCATCAACACAACGGTTGTGTCTAACAATGTACACTTTGTTCTGCACCAAAAATCTAGCACTGAAAGGCTGAATTATATCAATCTTGATGTTCTTGCTATAAATAAGATCAAATTAAAGAATAAAGTTGAATATGAGTAGAAGGGTTGCTCCCAGTTTCTCCTCATCAAGGCAAAGAAGGTGATAAAATAGAATTTATTGTGTATTCAGAAGCAACAAGAAATATTATTTAATGGGTTATTTGGTCTTTATATGTTGCAGTACAAATGATAATTGTTTTCAGAAAGTGGCTACTGAGGATGAAGTCATAGACAAATTCTTCAAATACAAACAAATAAAACATTGACAAAAACCAAGATATAATCAACATACACTGATTTTTTGGTCACTTCAGTGCAAAGATTAAAAATGGTGAGGTGGCTTTGGAGAATGGACAGGGCAAAAGGAGAGAGATCTTGTGTAGGATAAACTGGGAAAATAGGGTGGAAATGAATGCATAGTTCATAATCATTACTGTGGAAAAAAAATACAGTGAGTTTCTCTGATAAAGATTTCATTTCTCAAATATAAAAAAAAACTGAATCAAATTAATAGAAATAAGAGCCATTCCTCAAATAATAAATGGTCAAAAGATATGAATAGGCAGTTTTCAGACAAAGTAATCAAAGATAACTATCGATATATTTAAAAAATGCTCTAAATCACTATTGATGGAGAAATGCAAATTAAACCAACTCTGAGCTACTATCTCACACTTGTCAGATTGGCTAATGTGACAGAAAGGGAGGGTGACAAATGTTAGAGGGGATTCCCTATACTTCCAGACTGGGCAAGAAAGGGAACTGGCCTTAAGGCAAAAAAGGAAAGAAAAAATGGCAGACAATGGATATGGCAAGCACTAAATATTCTAGGGAAAATAAATTATGTTTTTTTTAAAGTCAGAAAAGACTTGTGATTGATGAGGAGTTATTCTTCAATCTGCTGTCTATTTATAGTAAGACAATCTACACATCAGAACCAGGATCAGAATTAGAAAAGAAATGAATGAAAAAAATATGATTTACAATTTAAACAAGGTAACTGAACCATAATAAAAATAATTCAAAAACAAAAATGGAGATGGACACACTAGAAATGACATTAACATTGACTATAACAATTTTGTCTAATACTTAGTTTAACCAATACTAGTGAATTGCCACCAAAAAAGGAGAAATGAAATCCCATAAAATACAGTTAGAAAACATCTGGTGCACTTGCCAAGCCAAGATAGATATCTGGCAAAGGTAAAATTGGGTTAGAATATAAAATTCATTTGTAAATTCTTACATCAAGTTTGTTGTTTATGATGTTATTCAGGGTTCTTCATGATCATTGCCTTCTAACTGTATTCTGGAAG